TTTCTGAGATAATATTTATATAGATTCAGAGAAATATAAAATATTCTGATATATAGGCACATTCATGTATATAAACTTACCTGTCAAAAACTACAGTCAGTTTTCCATGTTAAATACATAAAATATATATTTAATATAAAATAAAACAAAACATTAAACTTACTCAAATCAGTAACAGTTCGACTGTCTAAGTATTTTTATTATTAACCCTTCTATTTGAAAAAAGAAACAAATGATTTGAAGTGACTAAAAAGCACTTTAGCTATTTCCAATTGCACTAAAAAATAAAATAAATCTTGCTTTGGTAAGTTGCCTAGTTCTTAAAAATCTGAAAACAAATAAGTAAAAAACCAAGAACAAACAAACATTTTTTTATTAAAACTACTCTATTTAAACAAATTAAATTAAACAGAGAACAACATTAATTCTCTTTGAAAGCTGAAAAACTTTTCAGCTCAAATTTGGTTGCAGACCTTGCTTATAAAACCACTTGAATAAGAAAAGCATCAAAAAAGCCTAGAAGCTACTTAAAAATGGTATATGTAACATTGAACTTTGAATGTTGACTGGAGTAGATATATATATATATATATATATATATATTTAAAAAATTCAAAATGATTTGTTCTTCTATAGCAAATAAAACCACTATAAAAATTAAAAATGTAAAAAATAAGTAAATACAAAGAAAAACATCATATATGAATTGAAAATCAATGTACCTGATAGAGATAAGCTGTTGTGATACCTGAGTAGTAGTTGCTAAATATTGTAAACAAAATGTATTTATAGAAAAATGGTCTTGAATGAATTTTAGCAAATAAATAAAAGCAGTGAGTTCTAGTAATGAAACTACCTATTAATCATTTTTAACAGCTGACACCAACGTAAAGATAAGCCAAAGGTAACAACATTACACGAAAAATTATTAAAGATAATGCAATGTGTTTTCAGAATAGTTATATTAAAGGCTAGGCAACACTTAGACCTAAAGCAGTAACATCGTTTGACTGGTAAGGTTGATAAATCTTGCTCTACACGTTTGCCAAGTCACTCCACTTTAAAATCATGGAAACAACATTATATAAACATATATACTAATTATAAAACACATTATATTTTTTTAATGTTACTTAGCATATAAAAATACCCCATTTAACAATCTTGCACAAATTAGATATAATACATTTCATACTATTATAAAAACACATTTATATAAACACATTTATAAAACAACTATATAACATATATCACCACATACACGTATTTATCAAAAAATTTTAAACTTTGAGCATAATATACATGCAAACATATATGCAATCTTTTAACAACTATAAAACAACATTTGTTAGTATCAACTATTTTTAATGTAACAAAGAAAGCAGACTACAATGTACAACATTGTTAATAAAAATGAAGTTATGACAGTCAGTATATATTTATCTAAAGTAATGAAAAAGAATAAACCATTTAAAAACAAAATTAAATATTTCTAATGAATATATATTTAGATACCTTAAAATGAAGCATAACACAACACTCTTTTGACAAATTCCAGAACAAATTTTCTTAATTTTTCTATTCCTTATTATTTATTCTTAGAGAAAATATATATAGATATAGAGAAATAAAAAAGATATAGAGAAATAAAAAAAAAATAGTAGTTTATAAAATATTCATAAATCAATAATAAATAAATACTATATTTATTTATTATTGATTTATGCCATACTTTATTTTTAAATTATATTTTTACATGGCAATTAAGTAACAATTGTAAGTTCTGCAATAAAACAGTGGCCAATCATCAAAGAGCCATTTTATCTGATTGTTGTTCTTCTTGGGTTCATGCTAAGTGCAATTCAATCAACAAATTTTCGTATAACCTTCTCGCCAAAGACTCTTCTGACTGGTATTGTAGTGACTGCATAATTAAGAATATGCCATTTAGCACACTTTCGGATTTTGAATTTTCTTTAACTATATCATGTCAAACTCTATCAACTAGTACCTTAAATTCTTTAGAAAGTCCATTACAATTTAAAAACATTTTTAAGGATATAAATAAAATCTCTAATACTTATTCCAACTGCAAATACTTCGATATTCTTGATCTCAATAAAACTTTAAAATCAAATTCTGAATTGTACCTTCATCTAAACATTGGTTCTTTGCATTTTCATATTGATGAACTTTGCAGTCTCATTAGTTCACTTACCATTCATCCAACAGTATATGGAATTTCGGAATCTAAATTGTACATTAACAATCCCAATATAACTGACATTACTATAAATGGTTATAACATTGAAAAATGCTCTACTGAAGCTAAAAAAGGCAGTGCTCTTGTATACTTACAATCCAATCTAAACAACAATGTCAGAAGAGATTTTATAGCATATGCCCCAAAATACCTAGAATCTATCTTTATTGAAATCTTCAATCCTTTTAAGAAAAATATCATTGTTGGCTGCATATACCGGCATCCTTCAATGAACCCAAAGGAATTTATTTCTAATTATTTTAATTCTTTACTTGAAAAACTTAGTTTTGAAAATAAACAGGTTATGTTAATGGGTGACTTTAACATGGACTTACTAAACTACAATGAATCCCTTATTATATCTGATTACCTTGACTCACTTTGTTCTTATTCTTTTTACCCAACAAAAATTCCTGTTATTACAGGTTATTACAGGTTAAGTAACCTGTAAATCTAAAACAATTATTGATAACATCTTTTAAAATTTTAAAATTCCTAATCTTGTTTCTGGTAACGTAACATTATTAATTTCAGATCACATGGCACAGTTTGTTTGCATTCCTAGTAGTACTCCTTTCAAAAGAAAAAAATCCATAACAACTAAACGATTATTTAATAATTTCAATGATAATGAATTTATTTAGGATATTTCTAATATTAACTGGAAGTTTTATATCAAAAATGGTGATGATGTCAATGAATCAATGAACTTCTTTTTAAAAACATTCAACACAATTCTTGATAGTCATGCCCCATACAAAAAACTGACCAAAAACCAAGTTAAACTCATATCTAAACCTTGGATCACTAATGGAGTTCTGAAGTCAGTTGCAATTAAAAATAAGCTCTACAAAAAGTATATAAAATCTAAGAATTCCAATACAAAAAGTCATTTATTCGTTAAATTTAAATTGTACAGGTATAAAATTAGCAATTTATTTAGAATTTCCAAAAAGTCATACTACATCTCCTTTTTAAACAAAAACCTCAACAATACAAAAAATACACGGAAAAGAATAAAAGAAATTATTAACATCAAACCCTCTACACCAATTAAATCTTACACTTTTAAGTCTAATGGTAACACTATCTCAGACAGTATGGCTGTTGCTAACATTTTTAACAAATACTATGAAACAATACAACACCCACCCAAAACACAAAAGTAAAATGATTTCTTCTAAAAGTATCTTTTCGGACTATTTAAAAAATGCTAATTCTTTCTTTCTTAATCCAGTGACTGAAAATGAGGTGTCTGATTTAATAAAAAAATAGTTTACAAAATGGTAAAAGTTTAGGACCAAATAGTATCCCCAAACACCTTCTTAAACTTACTTCTCATGTTATTTTCAAGCCTCTCTGTACCATATTGAATAATTCTTTTAATAAAGGTCTTTTTCCAGATGTTTTTAAAATAGTCAAAGTTATTCCTATCCATAAAAAAAGTTCTCTAATGGACCACAGAAATTATCGACCAATTTCTCTTCTATCTAACATTAGTAAAATATTTGAAAAAGCCATGTACAACAGACTTTATAGCTTTCTTGACAAAAACCAATGTCTTTACAAACATCAGTATGGATTTCGTAACAAACACTCCACAACTCATGCACTTATTAAAATAACTGAAACTATTAAAAATGTTCTTGACAATAAACTTTTTGCATGTGGAGTGTTTCTTGACTTTGAGAAAGCCTTTGATTCTGTTGACCACTCCATCCTCTTAAGTAAATTAGAACACTACAGTGTTTAAGGTAATACTCTGCAATGGTTTTCATCATATCTTTTTAATAGATCGCAATTTGTCTCCATCAATGATGCCAAATCTTTTCCAATAAAATGCTCCATGGGTGTACCCCAAAGTTCTGTACTAGGACCATTGCTTTTTCTTATTTTTATAAAAAAACCTAAACTTTAGACGAAGTGAACAAAAAATCTTTCCCGTAGTTTCATTAAAATATCTTGGAATCCAAATTGACTCAGATCTATCTTTTTCCTCTCATCTTAAAAACTTAGCAGTAAAATTGTGTAGATCAAATGGGATGCTAGCCATAAATCGCCACTATGTCAATTATGAAACTTTACTTAATATATTCCATGCAATTTTTGGATCTCATCTTAGATACGCTTGTCAGGTTTGGGGACAATACAAGTTTAATGCTTTTTTAAGGTTACGTAACCTACCAAAACAAAGCAAAAGTACAAAACAAAGCTTTAAAAATGATATTCTTTCAACAGTATCATTCTAACTCTGACATGCTTTACTTTCTATCATAACTACTCAAATTATGTGATCTTGTTTATTTATTAAATTGTCTATTTGTCTGGAACCATAAACAAGTAAACCTCCCTCCGTCATTCTCCAATTTTTTTACCACTAAAGAAAGTTCTCGTTATTACCTTCGATCTTTGAGCAGTGATATTTTCGTACACGAGAACAAAAACGAGAACGAAAAAAAAAGCCTTTCGTTTACGAAAACGAAAACTAAAACGAAATTTATTTTAAGAACAAGAACAGAATAAAAACGATAATTTTAAATTTTCGAACGGAATATAAACTGAATCGAAAATTATTTTAAAACGAAATATTTTCGTTCTAGATTTGAAACGAGTTGAATTATTTGATATATATATAATTATTATATTACAATACATTATAATGATATATTATTTGAACTTAATTGAATTTTATTCAATTAAGTTCGAATAAGTTTAGTTATGAAAGAGTTCGAATATATTTATTCGAATATATTTTTTCGAACTAAAAAAAATCAAACTGTAAGACCAACACAACTACGCGATGAGTTTGAGTAAACTTTTTGCTGGTAGGAAGAGGAATAGTTCAGTATGGAAATGGTTTAAATACGATGCGTCATCCGACAAATCAGTATGTTTAGTTTTACTTGATGGTGAAAAAGTATGCAATACAAAGTTGTGTGGAAAGAACCCAACAAATCTTAAAGTTAGTTTATCTGTTAGAGGATATGTTTCCATTTTGAAACAAACGACTCATTTTTATCATTTTAGAGCAATTATTCAATAACGTATACGAACTTATTTATACATTAATTGATAAACAGATAGATAAATAAACATATAAATATACAAACAAAAAATTATATAAATATGTTTATTTTTTTCTAGCTACATTTAGCAAGAAACCATAAGTCTGTACACGTTGAGCTGGAAGAGTCGGAATTAAAGAAATTAAGTGAAAAAAAGCAAACAGGGATAAAGAGGAAAGCAGTGGATGAAAATGGACCCACTCTTTTAGAATCGTCCTCAAATCAGAACCAGACCTTGATTCAATGCATTAATCGTAGGAATACCGCATGGCCTATTAATTCACACGAGCATAAAATTCGACTAAACTCTCTTATTCAAATGATAATTGCAACATGTAATCCAGTGACATTGGTGGATAATGCGAGTTTTAGAAAGTTAGTTAATACCTTACCTGAATTATAAATTTTCATTGCCTGCTTCTGCCAAAATTACTAGCCTACTTAATGAAGAATTTACTGTTTTAACGAGAAAACTTCGTGACTTCATATCTGAAGGCAGGCGCTTCACAATATGCCTTGATGGCTGGACTAAAAAAGGTCTTACTGCGTCCTTTTTAGGAATTTCGGTTTGTTTTTTTCACTTCAAATCCGAAAAACCAATACATGCTCTGCTTAATTTGTATCTTGTGAAACATCCACATACAGGTGAACAAATTGCTAATTGTTTTGAAAAATGTCTAAAATATTGGAATATTTCCAGAGAAAAAATATTGCTTGTTATTTCGGACAATGGAGCAAACATGGTCAAAGGCATAAAGTTGTCGAAAGCTCAAGCTGAACGTGATATACTTATTGAATTAGAAAGTGAGGTTAATGAAGAGCAGATAACAGATCTGGAAGACGATGAGAATATGACAAATAGTGAAGAGTGGGAACATGTTGACTTGATAGTTGATGTAATAGAAAACGTAGCATTTAGGAGATTGGGATGCATTGCACATGTTATACAGCTAGTTGTAAAACTTCCATATGATGGTAAATATCATGGCTTACTTTTGAAGGTACTTGGATTAGTGGGAAAAGTTCGCAAATCTTCTGTTGCATTGGAAAAAATTATCAACAAATGTGGTAAGACTGTGATCAGCGACTGTTCTACAAGACGGAACAGCACTTACTTTATGGTTCGGAGATTTCTGGAAATAAAGACATCTATCAACGAAGTGCTTGGAGACCTTAACATTGAATCACTTGCCAATAGCGAATGGATAATGCTTCAGGATTTTGTCAATCTTTTAGAACCTTTTGCCTATGAAACTGATATTCTTCATACGGATGCACTTTCACTATCCAGTGTTATACCTTCAATACTTAATTTAGAATGTCACCTTGAGCAATTTGGAGATGCCAAAGATGTAGCAGTTAAAATGCTTGAAGATCTACGCCGTCGTTTTGCCGTTCTTTTGCAGCCAAACGATCCTAATTTTAATCCACTGCCATGTGCCGCATGTCTACTTGACCCCACATGTGCAATAGCTCTTTTAGGTAATGAGCATACACAAATCAGAGAGTGTGCAAAGAAATACATTTTGTCAGAGGCTAAAAAATCGGTGCAACATGATTTACCTTTAGCAAGTGCATCTACTCTTTCTGTTGAGTATGCTCCAGAAATAAATGGATTAACAAAATGGAAATTTTTAGCGGCAAAACAGCGAGTAGAAAAAATAAAGCTTATTCCAGGTAATGAAGCACAAAATGAACTCAAAAAACATTTTATTGAAATAAGGAACAGCTCTATGTGCCAAAATGCTTTAAATTTCTGGAAGATGAGACGTGCTGTTTACCCACATATTGCACCATTAGCTGAAGACCTCATTGCAGCTCCTGCAACTCAAGCATATGTTGAAAGACTTTTTTCAATCTGTGGCTTGCTCACAAATAGACGGAGAAATCGAATGTCAGCGTCATTGGAAATGCGAGTTTTCTTAAAACTAAATTCTCATCTAGTCTAGATGATAATCATATAATCACTAGGCCCTTTATTTGTAAAATATATGAGTAATTATTAAAGTCTATACAATAACTATTCATTAGTTTTTATTGTTACCAAATTTGAGGAGTTTTTTTTATACCTAATAATTGAAATTTTTTTAAGTTTTAGAGCAATAAGGACAGGTTGTTGTTGTGTTTTTTATTAAGGGCAGTGGGCGGGGCTCTAAACTTCTAGCCATGTGACTGGGTGTATTACATTTAATTAAGTTCTCATTTTTTTGTTTGTTTGTAGAACTAAGACTTACTTCTTTTACTTATATATGCCTATATTATTTATAAATTATACTAAATTATAATTAGATGAGATAAAAAATTTATACGACAAACGAAAATTGAACTAAATAAAAACTAAAACTAAAATTATTTTAAGATGAACTGAATAAAAACTAGAACTAAATTTATTTACTGAACTGATTAAGAACTAGAACTGAAAACTTTGCTCTAAACTGAATAAAAACTAAAACTAAAATTATTTTCCGAACAAAAATATCACTGCCTTTGAGTAACTATAAATTATCTATCCCAAATCGCTGTTCGGTAATATACGGTGATAGACCAATGCGTAAAATCGTGGAATAATTTACCTTTTCATTTTCAATCCCTCAATTCTTTTTCTTTTCTTTTTGACTTTTTGATACAAAAGTACTCTAATTAAAATCTTAGGCTTATAATAGATTATTATTACTATTGTTAATAGTATTATTATTATATGTGATGTTAATATTACTTACATTTTATTTACATTTTTATTACCGTCATTATTACTTATTAAAATTGTTTAATATATAAATGTGATATTTGTTAATATTACTACTATTGTTATTATTGCTATTATTATATGATTGCTATTATTATTTAATTGGTGTTTACCTTAGATTAGTACTCGTACTATTAGTAAACAACCATGAAATGTAAACTTTTATTTCAGAATATATATATTGTTGTTGTTGTTATGGTACTTTAAGTTTCATGCCTATACGGCAATCATCAGCCATTGAATACAAAATCAAAAACAACAAACCTGCTAAAAATTATAAAATACTGTCTAGTAGGATCTTAACGTCGCTAAGACATACTTAATGGCAACCTAAGAAAAAACAAAATATTAGCTAATCACCGGTGTCAAAATTCCTATTACCTTATTTAATACCGGTGATTAGTAAATTTTTTGTTTTTTCTTTGGTTGCCTAGTATGTCTTAGCGACGTTAAGATCCCACTACACATTATTTTGTAATTTTTAACAGATTTTTTGTTTTTGATTTTGTATTCAATAGCTGATGATTGCCGTATAGCACGGTTAGCACGGATTCTTATAATGTCTACCTAGCTGTCCCAAGAACGCCACTTATACGGAAAGTTAGCGTACACACCAAGGTACCCTGTGATGCAAATTTTGAAATCATTTAATTTTGTCCGCGGAAAATAATTTAATTTGAATGTTCAGATTAAGTCAAATTTTGACTTCATAGTGCGCTAATAAAAATACTTGTAGAATTTGAACCATTCAATATAATTTGATAAAAATTGGTGCAAATGTAGCCAATAGTCACACCAAACTCTGGAAAAAAAAATTCAGCCTGATTGGATGACTGGTGTAGGATTTATTGCAGTTTTAGTTGAAGTTTTGTCAGTTTTTTGCTACTTATACCTCAAAGCGTTACCGATTAGTTTGAAATTCGGTAACTATTTTTAAAATAACGGTTACATGAGTGTTCTACTATGTAATACCAACAGTTTTTGTTATAATTATTTTATCGGTACATGTACAGTTTTCATTTTATAGACCAAAACAGTGGTTTGCTACTTAAAGCGTGATTTGAATTGGCTTGTGCAAAAGGCGTTGACACGGCCGTCAAAGTGGAGGGGGTCAACCCCTCATTTTTTTAAAATAAAATCCATATTTTCTAAAATAATTGCCTATATTTCTAAAACAAAAGGTCCTCGCAAAAAAAGTAGAGAAGGAAATGACCCCCTAGCCTCCCCGGCGTTGATAGCCATACATGCTTCGCTTGAATATACCAACATTTTCTAAGGTTTAAACTGCTGCCAAAAAAAAAGCTAAAAAAAAAAAGTCCAAAACCAGGTCAAAGGACTGCCAGTTAGTAAAACAAAAAAAAAAAGTAGATTTCCTAAAATATTTTGTATTGACCTTCTTAAATACATTTAAAAAACCTTTTGAAAATTTCAATTTTTTCAGCGAAATCCGGCTGAAGAATGTATCCAAAGCAAGTCTTGACAATTAAATTGAAACTTTTGAATGCTTCAATTATGAACACAGTATTAGAAACCATGTTTGTCTCAGCAAGTTGCTGCAGCATATCCACATGTTCCTTAAGTTCATTTCCCTTAAATTGGCCCCCGTGCAACATTGATTTCCTTTAAATTGCAGTATTCATTTCCTTTAAATTGGCCCCCGTGATATGGGCTCAGTTGAATGTGGAAAGCGGCTGGCAACTTAACAGCTTCTATCCAGTTTTAAGGATCTTGAAAATATGGTTGACAATTCCTAAGAGGAAATGCAATTCCATCGGTGGAATGTTTTCCAAAATTAGAACATTGACAGGCCTGCAGATGATTGGCTTTCGAATGACATTGCCAAACAGCTTTGCATTAGCAACAACCCTGCCAGATTGCTGAAAAGACTCAAGGCTTGAATTAATTTAGCCCAGTGTTCGCAAATTTCCAGATATAGCAAGACAGTTGGATTTGACGTCATACCAGGTGCAAGGGTGCGTACTTGAATAAGTTTGAAGACCACGAATTATATTTGCAACTTTCATATCACAAGCCAAAATTAGTTTAACTCCATTTGCATTAATCAGTGACCAGATTTTTTTAATATTGGAGTATGTTTATGGCAAATCTTCTGAAACCCCAACAATAATTTGTCTCTTGACTCCAGTGTCTTTACCAGTCCTAGGAGTGAGAGGTTGTTGTTGGTGCGGTGAGCTGGTTTCATCCCTTAACGCAGTATCAACAATGCTCAGGCAAAAATTGAGAAAACCTTTGCCACCAACAATTCTGAGCTTAACAAAATAGCCACCAGAAATTTTGCGGGACTGAAAAACATGATTCACAAGACTTGATAAATCATTGCAGTGAGCAACAACATGAACTGTACAAGAATCTATTTTTTTGTCTGTGATTTTTAAATCGCATCAGGTGTAGAAATCGCTCAACAGTTGACCTAGTCTAAGAAAATTCATTTAGAAATTTCGCTCTACCATCTTGCTGCTTGATGTTTTGTTTACAGTTCTAACAAGTTTCTTTAATCTGTTTATTTGACAGGCCCGTATTTAATTGCACATTTACAAGGGCTACAGTGGATAATTTCGGAGCACTTGATGGTGTCTGCGCACTACTTTGACCTAAACCTAAACATACATATTTTATAGTTACAATAAACTTTGTTTAGTAAGTTTGTGTAAAACTTTCAAATTATTCGTTTTTAAAGAAATTAGAAACTTGTCAAAAATATACTTCTTGAAATCTATCTAGTGTTATTTCTTGATAGTCAAGACTTTATTTAAATATATATGTTAAAATTATTTAAGTATAAATATTTACCAGGGGTAACTGTAAGTGGAGGCCCGCCGGATGCTTTAGTCAGTAGAATAGTTTCTTCCGGAGATATTTCTTTATTGGAAATAACTTAAGATGCGATTTGTTCGGATGATTTGGCATCTTTTGCTGCTAAAGATTGAATGTTTTCCCTTAACATTATTTGAGAGGATTGGTAAGGCAAACCTTTTCCTAAAAGGC